GTTAAAATCCAGTCGGCTTTTAACCCATTTAGTAAGTTAGACTATGGTTATCAGCAGAGTTATTTATCACTAACCAAAGGAAACTGTTTCTGTTTCTTCAAGTGTTGACCAAAAAGGGCCTGGATCTGGCTCTGAGTGATACATTTTCACTGTATGAAAAATCAAAGACAACCACAGGTAAGAAATATTGGTATCACCTAATAATACCCATTACAGTAATATTTTTATCTAGTAGCTATGATAACACTACACACTACTGAAAAAAAGCACAAGGTAAATTAAACGCTTTTAAAAAGGGGGGAAAGGGGTCTAAGAATCCGTTCAGAATCTCTAAGGAATGGTAAAGTCTTGATGGATTTCAGGGTATCCTTTAAAATAGCAGCAAATAAAAGTAAATGACAACTGGAATAACAACTAAAGCAGTGTCCTTAATTGCAATCAAAACACTGAAACTTCGTTTGGTTTTACAGTGAATAGTGAAACATGACTGGGAAATAACATAAAACGTAGCAGCACTAGAGCAAAATGATTTAGCTCAGATGATATCAGGAGACCAGGCTACGAGGCGGGGCCGATCCAGGACAAAAGGTTGGCGTTGTCCTAAGATGGCCGCCCCACGTATACGCATGCCTGATGAGGTAGCCAAAGGCAAACAGTGCTCTCCAATCAAACTTTAGCACCCTGACTCTTCAGACAAAGGCAAAATAAACAGAGCACTGATCATTCACAGTCAGGCTCACTGAGCAGTAGCATTCAGTTCAGACGTCTTTTACTTTAAAACCATCAACAGTTGAAGAGAAGAAGCAGATGGATCCTGTCTGTTAAACCAGGTAAGTGACCCACTCTGATAATCATCTCCTGTCAGATGATCGTGGTCACTTACCTGCCTTTCTCCCTCCAGAGTGTCAGTGATTGGGCTGTGCCCCGCCCCTCTTTCCCTGCAGTCGGTGCAGCTCCTCAGATCCATAGCAGCCCGTTTCTGTTCTGTTTGATTCCTGTTTTGTTTTATAAATGTTTTTAACTTTCCTACTGACTGTCTCATCTTGAATACTGGGTCCATCTGTCTCACATTCATGACAGCTTTAAGAGGACATCTCCTGACAGCAAAGTCTGACAGCTTTGTCACAGTGGCACCTCGGCAACAGTCGGGGCCACCACTGTTCCACTAGCAATGAACAAGCTTTCACCAAGCAAAAAACCCCATGTTTTTTCTCATCTGCTTCAGAGCAGGCAAGATCCCACTGAAAATACACTACATTCAGGCAGAAAGACTTCTTAATTTGAATGCACATGTTTGTTTCGCACCTTTTGTTTTAGATCAACTGGAGCAAAACTGTATGGAAGACATTTCTAATATGCAGCTCACAGAACACAATTTGTGTACTTGTATTTGTGAATTTGAAAAGGCGTACCTTTTTTGTAACTGTGATAGATAAAAAAATCTACAATTACAAAACATCAAAGTTACAATGCAAAAATACTTTTGCAACAATAGTTCTGGACCATTTGGAGAAAACTGAGAATGTAAGAGGTTTTTGACGTGCAACTTACAGAACACAATTTTGTTCTTGTACTATAATTTGAAGTGGTGTAACTTTTTTGTAATCGTGAAAGATAGAAAAAAACTGTACAATTACAAAGCTCCAAAGTTAGAATTCACAAATAGTTTTGCTACCATAGTGCTGGACCATTTAGAGCAAAACTGTGATTGTAAGAGCTTTTGATGTGCAACTTGTATAACACAATTTGTGTACTTATAATTAATATATGAACAGGAGTGAAAATGAATTTACTTGTGATTTTTTTTTTATTCAACAATTACACTTCTCAAAAAAATTAAAGGAACACTTTGAAAGCACATCAGATCTCAATTGGGAAAAAAATCATGCTGTTAATTTATACTGATATGGACTGGGTCATGTGTTAGGAAAAAAAGGATGCCACATTATTTGATGGAAATGAAAATTATCAACCTACAGAGGGCTGAATTCAAAGACACCACAAAAATTACAGTGAAAAAATGATGCGGCAGGCCAGTCCATTTTGCTAAAATTTCAATGCAGCAACTCAAAATGGTATTCAGTCTTTTGAATGGTCCCTATGTGCATGTATGCATGCCTGATAACATCAGGGCATACTCCTAATGAGACGACGGATGGAGTCCTGGAGTATCTCCTCCCAGATCTGGACCACGGCATCACTGAGCTACTGGACAGTTTGAGTGCAACCTGGCGGCGTAGGATGGATCTAAACATAATGTCCCAGAGGTGTTCTATTGGATTTAGGTCAGGCGAGCGTGGGGGCCAATCAATCAATTCCTTCATCCTCCAGGAACTGCCTGCATACTCTCGCCACATGAGGCCGGGCATTGTCGAGCACCAGGAGGAACCCAGGACCCATCTGACAATGGGTGCAAGGATTTCATCCCGATACCTAATGGCAGTCAGGGTGCCGTTGTCTAGCCTGTATAGGTCTTTGCGTCCCTCCATGGATATGCCTCCCCAGACCATCACTGACCCACCACCAAACCGGTCATGCTGAACGATGTTACAGGCAGCCTAACGTTATCCACGGCTTCTCCAGACCCTTTCACGTCTGTCACATGAGCTCAGGGTGAACCTGCTCTCATCTGTGAAAAGCACAGGGCGCCAGTGGCGGACTTGCCAATTCCGGTGTTCAGTTGCAAATGCCAGTGGAGCACCAAGGTGCCGGGCAGTGAGCACAGGGCCCACTAGAGGACGTTGGGCCCTCATGCCACCCTTGTGAAGTCTGTTTCTGAGTGTTTGGACAGAGACATTCACACCAGTGGCCTGCTGGAGGTCATTTTGTAGGGCTCTGGCAGTGCTCCTCCTGCTCCTCCTTGCACAAAGGAGCAGATATCGGTTCTGCTGATGGGTTGTAGACCTTCTACGGCCCTGTCCAGCTCTCTTGGAGTAACTGCCTGTCTCCTGGAATCTCCTCTATGTTCTTGAGATTGTGCTGGGAGACTCAGCAAACCTTCTGGCTGTGGCGCGTATTGATGTGTCTTCCTGGAGGAGTTGGTCTGCCTTTGCAACCTCTGTAGGGTCCAGGTAGCGCCTCATGCTAACAGTAGTGACAGTGACCCTAGCCAAATGCAAAACTGGATAAAAAGACTCAGAAAAGATGAGGAGGGGAAAAACTGTCAGTGGTCTCCACCTGTAAAACCATTCCTGTTTTGATGGCTGTCTCGTTGTTGCCCCTCTAGTGTACTTGTTGTTAATTTAATTAACACCAAAGCAGCTGAAACTGATTAACAACCCCCTCTGCTACTTACCTGACCAAATCAATCTCCCAGAAGTTTAATGAACTTGATTTTTTAGTAGTGTACATAATAAATTCCCACCTACAATGCACAAATAGATTTTATTCAAAATTACCTTCATATTTTTATGTCTTCAAGTCATGCTGTTAGTCTTTGAACAGTAATGGATAAATTTCATGTAGATTTATAGACAGATATAACCAATGCCGTAATGACACAACATTATCTGGGTGGGCCCCATATGTGCCACAACACAAATCTGCCATGTGTTGGGGTATAAATAAGGTCCGGTCAGTCACTCTAGTATCAGATGGGTAAAAAGTAATTTTTCACACCGTTACATCTGCAAAGATGTCCACAATTGCATAGGGGGCCATCCAGGTGTCAGTTACAGGGCCCCCAAGAGGTCGGGGGCCCCTAAGCAACTGCAGTCTCTGCTCACCGATATTTACGCCATTGGATATAGCAGATTATCATCAGCAGGACAGTTGAAATTAATGCCATGCTATCTAACAATTCTATTAGTTTGGAACATATATAGAAAGATAATTGGTCCTAGCACTGATCCCTGTGGTACGCCACATTAACGTGAACAAACAGAAATTTGTCAGATAAATTACATTCAAACCAGCCAAGTGACATTCCCTTAATTCCAACAAAGTATTTAAGCCTTTCTTAAGTTCAAAGGATGTAAAACTTCCAAATCTGTAACATTTTGGGGGGACTTCAGCTAAAATATATAGGCTACAACGGGTAGAACTTCATGTTTAGAACAAAAAAAAAATATATTATTTGTCAGCTAAGAGTAAGTCTTTCATCACCCACCCACTCACCATGCACACGAACCAGCAGTTCTTATGTTTCATTATTGTAAACGGCCTCACTAAATTAGGATTTCATATAAAGGGCAAACGCGTAATTTTGAAGAGCAGGTTCGTCGAGTGGATTCGTGCCTCTCGGTAGTTCCTGCGGGTTCCTTTTTAACGTTATATTCAGGGCATAAAGATCTGAATGCTTGCCTTAAACATACGAAAAAAAACAGCTTGTTTATAAGCAATAGAGAACAAGACGAGGGTCAGAGAAAGTGGCCCGATGATTAAGGGAAAAATCCGCATATTGTTCCCTTTTGTGGACGATAATCCACGCATGTCTTCCGTTTCCCCTCTTCGCAGCTGTCAGCGGTGGCACTCCCTCATCAGGAATGACAGTAGTGTGTGTGAAGGCTCCCACAGTAAATCTCTGTGACATCTTAATAACAACGTTATGTCTCTTATAGCTTGCGGAACAAATGCGCCAATATCTAAGTTGGCGCATTTGGAACCGAGGATAAAGTCGTGGGCTGATTTGATTTCTCAGCCTGCAAAAACATCATTTTGTCAGGAGAATCATAGATGATTAAAAAAGGAAAACAAATTGAATATAATTTATGTTTCCAATGAAACAAGAAGCATGTTTGTTTGCTTTAGTGCAGAGATAATGTGCCGCCCGTGCGTCCTATGCGCCATATGGTCCCCAGGGGTCTTTGATACACCCACCCCTGGGTTTTATCACACGTTGAGGGGCAGGGATTTTTATTTTTTATATCTATTTTCTTTTTTTTTCATGTGGAGAGAGGGGTAAAAGTAACCTCCTCTTCTGACACACTCCCTTGCCTTCCTCCCTCCCCCATCTCTACCTTCAGGCTCAAATGAAACTTCTGCAGTCTGCTGAGCATTTTCATGAGTGACAGGATCTTCTCAGGCTGACAGTTTTGACGGATATTGCCTGATATCATCCTTAAAGACCATGTAGCAACTCTCGACATCCTGCACCTCTATTTATTTCTTTTATTCATCAAAACTTTTTGGAGATTTAAGCGATGGAGTTTGACGCAGGACGGCGCGATGGAGCCCTTCACCATCGAAAACCGAGGTTTGTACCTTGAGACAGTTTTATCTTCTCAATCTTTTCTCTTTTCATATCTTTTTATTCTTATTTACTGTATTTTTACAGCTTTAAATTTACATTTTAAACCTTGGATTTTAGTTGTTTTGTGTGCGTAAAGGCGTGCGTAAATGTATCTTCCACCAAAAAGGCTGATTTAACCACATGTTAATTCGAATGCATTTAAAATAGATTTAACAATTTCGATTTTTCTGTTGTAAATCTTTTTATTGCATACAAATTTGCGATTTTAAGAAAAGTTTCAAATGTAAGTTGTAGACTACCCCATGGGATTGATTTATGACAAAATTTGTAGTTGAAGGAGCCCCATTGTGCTGTGCGCAAGATCCAAGGTACTCTTTTTGTGACTGCCTGTAATTCCATTCTAACTCAGATTAAAAAACAAACTGATCAACGGATTATGGACTAGTAAAGAATGTTTTAATTTTCCTTGCTGAATAGGATCTAAATCTGGTAGTTGTTCTAATCTTAGGGGGAAAAAAGAATGATTGACAAGTTAATACATCTCTTTATTCCTATTTTTATGAACTCTTAGAAAACCTCAAGTTGCCTTACATTTCCCCCCCCCCTTGGACTCGTGGCCTGTTGGAAAAGCTGGAAAGACGCATATATTCAGTTTTAGTTTTCTTTTTCAAATTGGTTCAGGCTTGTGGCTCTCTATAATTATAGGTGTTCATTTTCCTGTATGAGAGCAAAGCAAAAGGTTTGTGAACAGCGTTGACATTATATCTGAAACATGAAACCTGGCATCAATGCATAGTACAATGGCACATAATAGGTAAGTAGTGACAGCAAAACCTCTAGTTTGAATTTGAGTTTATAACTAGAATTACTTTATAGAGATTCCTCCCATAAAAAGTCTCTATGTAATTCCTGCACAAAGGATATAGCGAGACAAACTACCATCTGAAAAATATAGTGCAACCGTTTTTGGTATTTACTTAATCATATTCAGTTACTCTAACACAATTGTTTTATGTCCTACCCTGCTAATATGAAACAATTATGTTAAAGTAACTAAATATGATTAAGTAAATGCTAAAAATTGTTGCATTATCTAGTATTTATCTTGAGTATAGTCTAAATTATCAGTGTTAGAAAATACAAAAACTTTAATTTGAAAACATAGCAAATTATAACAGAGTTCAAGTCGATCTACTTTCAGCTTTTCTTCTGACCAACATCTAAACTCTACAGAGCAGAAGTAGCAGATTTCCTGTTTTCTAAACAGCTGTCACCACCTATTCAGTGTCCATATCTGTTTGTTTGCAAGGTCACATTGAGAGTACTTGTTGTGGTTTTTGGGCTAGAGGCAAGGAACACCCTGCACAGGTTGGCAGACCATCACAGAGACGCATAGGAAGTAGCCATGCAGATACTCATACCTAAAGGCAATTTAGAGAGGTCGTGTAACAAAGCTGTGATGTTTCTGGACTCGAAAAGCTGGAGTAGCCATCGAGAAACTGATGCATAAGGAGAATATGCAGACTCTATGCAGAAAGATTCAAACTGAGGGCTTTTTGTTTGCTGCAAGTGCTAACAAAGGCCTCAAAGAGCAGCCTACCTGTCATGGGAATATTTTATCTAAAGGACTCTTGATTATATAAGTCTGACTTTTTCCCACATAACCGGTAATCTTTTTTACTCTTGACTGTTCAACTACACTGCAATAATAAAGCAATCAAAAAGTTAGTCTCAGAGGACCATCTCTCAGCCAATCGATCTCTTAAAGTTTGTATTGAATGTAAGAACTATGTTTAAAAATATATATCTTTTTCACAAAATAAACCTTTCAGAATCTTTCAGATTCTGACTGTTTGCTCTCTGCTTTGGCTGTTGGCTTGTTAACCATGTGGTGTCCTTCCCCTTAGGTTAGGATAGTTTCTCTTCTTGAGGTCAAATTTTAAATCGTTTCATAATTTCTTCTGTTTGTGCAACAGCTGCACATGCTGGGATGATAATCAGTTTTATTTACAAATATCAAAGAAAAGTAAAATTGGCTTTTAGGGCTTAACCAAAGAGACTAATGCTTTGTAAGAAAATAACATTTTGCAATCATTAATGTAACCAAAAACAACTGAAATGCAATTGATTTATTTGTATTTCACAGTTTAAATAATTGTTGGACCTGACTCAAAATCTAACAAAATGTTTTCTTTTAAAACTGTTACCAAAAGTCATGTGGGTAAAACAAACAAACAAATTGAATAGAGCAAATGAAAGCTGAACTGTAGACGGGATATAAGCCCATCCCACACACGCTTACACACAGGCAGCTCAGGTATTACTTGTGGTTTAGCCTTCAGGACTTAGGAAGACACTCCTCATGACTTTTATGAACTGTCAAAACATGTCCAGAAAAATGGGAGAAAGAGGAAGTTGCAAGCCATTCTTGTTGCTTACAAAATGACCCCTACTGCCCTCCCACACCCCAAGCAGACTGTTGGGTAGACACCTGCACAGTGGTGGGCTCTTTTCCAAGCTTTAAACTAGACGGCGGGTTTGAAAAACTGGAGGAAATGCCTTTCCCTGACGGTTTTTCCTGCGGGAAGAAGCTGGGCTGTGATCTAAACTTGGACAGTGACGACAGGACATGAACAGGAACCTCAGACATTTCCTAAATGAGTACAGCCTCTTTGTTTAACTGGCCATGTACTTTTTTTTTTAATCATGTGACTTGTTGCATTTTGGATCGTTGAAATCTAAATATTTGTGTCTGTATATGTAATTACTCAGCACATTCAAGGTCATTCAGGCAGCGTTACTCATTTTACATGCACTGAAGAGACGTGCAGCGTCTGAAATCAATCCGCTCACATGAACACTCACCTGTCTGCCAATATCTATCAGTAAAAGGGATCCTAGTCCTGGCATCATGCGAATGAGTCACATCTGCAATTACAATCATCAGACTTAAGTCTAGGTTCAGCACAGAGTATCAGATGTGCCTCATTTTCCAGTCTTCAGCATGTCGGAGCAACCTGCACCTCATAAAAAAAAGAAAAACGCCTCTGGCAGCACTGAAAAACTTTTGTTTCAAGTAAAGTTTACCCCTTCAGTCTCAGACGCTCTAACCAAACAGCTGAGCTGACAGCAGAATTTGTCGACGTGATTAAAAGCTGACTGTCAACCAACTCATTCATTTCTCTGATGACAGAGTGAAACACTGAGGACAAACAGAAACTTCTCTGTTGATCTGTGGTTGTTTTCTATTTTCAGTGCAATGATAGATCATCTTTGGTTTCCCCTCACTCCTCTGGGTCTCTGACATAGCACCACACTGTGGTGTGCACAGGTGTTACAACTGCTGATGCTACATAAACTATTGCTCTGATATGATTGTAACGCAACATATTTCAGCTAAAATAATTAGATAAAGTTCATGTTTTTGTAAAAAAAAAAAAACAAAAAAAACAAAAAGGACAAAATTCCTCAGGATTTAGAAATGTGTGTGCTGAAGTCGTGATTTCTTCTACTCCACTAAAGAAGTGCAACTCATTTAAGTCCCAAATGTGACTTTTTCCTTTTGTTTGGCTTGATTGTTCCACAGGATGTGTTTCTGATAGTGGACAGATTCGGGGCCAGTCATGGAGCCTAAGCTGAACTGCAGCTCCGTGTGTGATTCCCCACTTTGCCTCATCCAGGCTGGATTCAGCAGGCAGGATGGCCAAGACATCCTAAGGAGACTATGCAGACTAAACACGGTAATCTATCTCGCAACCTACATCTATTAGTCTCACTGCTGTGAGACTATTTATACAATATATTACAGTTTACATTTAAATATTTTGAATGATTCTTATAAGCCTGCACTATGTTTAAAAATACCTATTTTTTTAGTTGAATGGGAAAATCCTGCTGTTTTCTTTTTTAACTTCTGGGTATATAGCACTTCATGGAGGAACAATGTTCCCAGTGCCATTTGGAGAGCAGCAGGCCCACAGCACCATAGATCCCTTAACCATACTTCAATAGGCACACATTTCTCTCTGTTTTCTATGTTAAACCAGCCTGAAGTCTTACATGCTGGAAAGCGGTTTTATAGTCTCAGTTTTAAGTTGGCATGCAGATGATGTCTGTGGCTGTTATGGAGAAACAGACAGCTTTGCTGCAGGTTTTCAAATGTAAAAATATACAAATTAAATAAAGAATACCATCCTTCTTACTGTTGGGATGAAACAATACACATAGTTTCTCATCCAGCCTTGTTATTTTAAGTGTTGTTCTGTGAGAAGTATGCTGATGATAGTGATCTTTACTTTTGGGGAAAACGAGCTGGAGGTTGCTGACCAATTATCAAATGAAATGCAAAAAGTTGCAGAATGGTTACAGTCATCTTGCCTGACTTAAAACTTCAATATAACTGTCTCAATGTTTTTTTTTTTCTAAACAAACGTAAAATTACAAAAAGCTCAAGAAATTCAAGTAAATGGACAAAAAAATGATAGACTTGATGAAGTATAAAAATATTAGAAATTCAATAACTACAAAAGCCTCAAATACGTACCTCAGTACTATGATTGTTCTACATCTTCTGTGTTGCTTGTCTAGTTGGGCTTAGGATTCTAAAACATTGTTAGAAGAACTTGAATCATTATATAAAAGAGCCATTAAAATGAATGATAAAAAGCCTCACCAGCACCAAAACTGTAAGGTACAAAGTAAATATAACATTCCAAGTTTTAAGAACCTCTTTAAATATAATCAAATTTCTGCTCTATTTAAAATAATCTACAAAATTGCTGCATGCCATTTGAGAAAATTTATCACACTCAATCCGGAGAGAATTTCTAGAGCCATTCGGTCGACAGCCAGAGCAGAGTGCAGCGTTCCAAGATGCAGAACCGCATTTAGTCAACAATTGTTCTCTGATAAAGTGACACGGCTTTGGAACACTCTTTAAAATGAAATTATTTCATGCACAAACTATAGTATGTTACTGATGTAACAGTGGTTATTATCAAAGCAAAACTGTACTCATTGAAGTGAGGCTTACACTTATTATTCTGTATATATTTTATCAACTTTTGTAAGTATGACATCAATCTGTCCAGGGACTGCAGGTAGAAATTACCTTTACTCCTTTAACCATGACATCTCTTCTTTCTTAGGCTAATGTTTTTTTGTGCATTGTCCCTGATCAAATAAAGAAATTAAATAAAATAAGATCCTAATGTGGACTAACTGTGACCTAATTAAAGATAAATACATAAATAAATAGATGCTCAATTAAGAAACAAGAATACAATTAAATGCACCAGGAGTGGGTGGTGTAAAGGGGAGAATTTCTGCCTACCAATCAAACAAAAATGGCTACCTACCATGGGGATAAAACTGAGCTATATATTAAATACGTAGAAATCAATGGGGAAAAAAACAGCATAATGAGCCCAACACTATAGCCTCTTTAGGCTCAGTTAACTTCTGGTGAATTGACAAATGAATATGAATCTCAGTTGCATTCATTGGTTATTTTTATCCATTTGTGTTCATTCCCTTGTGATTCTATACTGTCTGTGAGACAAAGAATCTCACTGGCTTTAACTTAGGTTTTTGATTACTGATTTAAGGTTTCTAAACATTTTGATCATCTTTAAACAAATAAATGAAGCACGAAACTGCTTCAGTTATGTGTATTTTATAATAGTTGTTAGTTATACTGTTAGGTGAGTTAAAAGTTATTTGCTTTAATTCAATGTAAGATTATTCTTTGACTATAAATGACTGATTTATTTTGAGTCTTCTTAAAACATTTTGTTGCTATGCTAAAAGCATGGGTTTCTGCATCTTATAATACTACTTTTAAATGAGTTTAAATGACTGCAGGTAGAAATGAGCTAACTGTGACCTAATTAAAGATAAATACATAAATAAATAGATGCTCAATTAAGAAACAATGAGTTTAAATGAGTTTAAATGACTGCAGGTAGAAATTAGCTAACTGACCTAATTAAAGATAAATACATAAATAAATAGATGCTCAATTAAGAAACAATGAGTTTAAATGAGTTTAAATGACTGCAGGTNTGACCTAATTAAAGATAAATACATAAATAAATAGATGCTCAATTAAGAAACAATGAGTTTAAATGAGTTTAAATGACTGCAGGTAGAAATTAGCTTTACTCCTATAACCATGACATCTCTTCTTTCTTAGGCTAATGTTTTTTTGCACAAAACTGCTTCAGTGACTTGTATTTTATAATAGTTGTTAGTTATAATGTTAGGTGAGTTAAAAGTTATTTGCTTTAATTCAATGTAAGATTATTCTTTGACTATAAATGACTGATTTATTTTGAGTCTTCTTAAAACATTTGGTTGCTATGCTAAAAGCATGGGGTTCTGTGTCTCATAATACTACTTTTAAATGAGTTAGTGTTATAACACTGATGCTTGTTCAGGTTTCCAGCTACATGCTGCTTCTTGCACATTAGGCAGCAATTTTTATTCCTACAACTAACAACCTTAGGTCTTCTGTTTGATACTTGAATCAGACTTCAAGGCTTGTGGCAGTGTTGTAAAGATTTATTGTCATGCTTTCATTTTCATACACTGATGCATTGTGTTCATATATTTAAATGTTTTGGCTTGATGTTTTTGAGGCTGACACAATTATTTGGAAATCTCTTTAATTTTGCTTGTGATCATGGCAACTATCATGCATGTCAAACAACGGTTATAAACACTGTACCAAGCAAAAGCCGACTAGTATTTTCAATCCAAATCTTCATATTAAAAATTTTCTTGGTCCTTTCACTGCCTATTATTAAAGTTAAACACCGATAACCAGACTAGGAAAGAACATGTAGAGGAAAAGAAAATGAATTAGAATGAGTCCAGCCAAGATACTGGTCTAGTTCTTAGACTCACACAATGTTAGAGGAATTTTCGTAATCATCACTAGCATAAATACTAGGACCAGTTCCTAGCCTCTTTTAGGCTGTGAAGCCCAGTTTCTTCCTACAGTATATGCACCAGTAAACCTCCATGTTGGCTGTAATAGTAATCCAACTGCAAACACAACTTACGTTTCCAGAGATCCCTCTAAATGTTTCGCTTTTAACAGCTTTGAAATCTAAACATATATAATATTGTCTTGTAAATATATAGATAAAAAATATAAAAAATAAAAAAAATTCTTAATGAAAGGTAAAGATGTTCAACTGCTTTCTTTAAAAGATGTCTTTAATTCTAGTTTAATAATTTTTCTGCTTTTATTGTTAATTATACAGCTTAGAGTAAATACAAGTGCTGATATAGTACCAGGATGTACAGTCACATCGACACAAATTAAATCAAATTATCATATTTCAATAAATGTTCAATGTGAGGATAAGATAAAAAATATATATATAATGCCACAAGGAATCCCACTTCTCCTAGCCTCTCTACAAAATGGAAACAGGAAAGACAATGGAACGTGAACTTTACTTAGATAATAGATTTCATTTTATTAACTCGGAAAAAGGCTACAGGAAAAAAGCAAAATACTTAAAGCCAGAGCAG